ACTCATGCAAGCAACATGACCATTCCACCGCGACCTATAGTTTGAAACTGTTTCTTCGATTCTTCTTCACGAACTTCAGGTAATCTTCACGATATGCAATGTGGTAGGTCCTGATCTGGCATCACATCTACAGTCACTTTCTCACAGACGTGATGTGGTTTCCCTCTGTCTTTTCTACAAATATTTTCATGCAACTGCTCTGACTAGCTACTTTCACTGGTACTCCAACAGCATGAATTTAAGCGTGCTACTAGACTGGCATCTCGGTCCCATCCTTTCACTCTCGAAAGGGTTAAATGTAACCACTTCTTCTACTCCAACAGCTTCATATCTCGCACTTCCCGGCAGTGGAACTCCCTTTCTCTTAACTGATTCCCTATTAGCTATAATCTTCAAATATTCAAACGTAATATCAATCGACATCTTCTGATGCCATGATCTTGATCCCCGTCCTTTTCTTTATCCTTTCCTCAAATACCCCTCTTTACTTTTGCTCTCACTCTCTGTAACCCATGCGTGCTAGTGGCACTGCTGCCTTGCTTGTGGGTGATACGCTTAAAAAATTCCAAATATTCGACGCAGACATTATTGATGAAATCCCTCAAACTGCTTCAAGTAATCGTGATAGACAACCAACGTTTCCCATACATCCAGTAACGACGTTAACACACAAGCATGAGAAAGTTTCATGTCTATCACTTGCCAAATTCCACGCTGTATCCATAGTCTCTGTTCCAACTTACCGAATATATCACTGACTTTTTGAATTCACCTCGCAGCTTCATTGCTCAGTGAGCATATTATCATCATATCTACCTGGTTATATCATATTTACAGCAACAGCAGTATGAATCACTTAGCGATATTTACCTACCTTTTGCATGATTTGAATCGCTAAGTAATTCCTAAATAAGTCTACCTTTTAATTATTAGAAAGCAACATACAAGCCGCCCACAACGATTCTTTTCCTACATTTTGAAAATCCTAGATATTTATTCTCAGAATTCTTAAGTCACAGAGAACCATATCAGGATCGAAATGACGAATAACTTGCGGAAATAGCTTGGTGACGATAGTTCTACTACAGGCAGCCAATTACAAATATCTTATCTAGATATACCTAGTCTGGAACAAGACAACAGTAGAAATGCAGACGAGACGATGAGGCTATTACTTCTATAAGGATTGCAGTCCTCAGTGAAGTTACTATATGCTTCGACTTAAAAAATACCAACAAGAGATAAATAGAGTTTGTTCTATTCTTTAAAATGCAAAACGCGGTAAAGCACCAAGCGAAGATGGAGGAGTAACAGATCTTTTGAGAAGTACTGAGAAAGAATTCAGACAGAAAAGGAAATTAATTCAAAACTTACCAGTTTAAGTAATTAAGAAATTTTCGTCCAATATTAATATAGTTTCATTGCTTTTTCTCACAATGCGCAATTATAATTTTGCTCCGTATTTAAATAAGATTAGAAAATACCTTTAATTGATTCCGTTTCTATGTCCAAATTATGATTCTAAAGTTCATAAACCAGTTGAATATTTAATGAGTAATGTAAATGAAACAAATATGTTATAGCTAATTTCCTCCTGTAAAAGACCTTTGAAATGTTTTGGTTTAAACAAACCCAAACCTCCTTTTGTGAATTAACATTCACGGGTATCGTGTGTATTTATAAAGTTTACTGCTGACTATGCGTTGGGTAATTAACAGACGATATTTTTCAATGAGATTTGAATTGATGAGTTTTCTTAGCGATAATCATCTTAAGTGGGCAACTAAATATCCATGAAAACGCCTGTATCATTTGCAAAATCGGTCGGGACTTTTTTTACCAATGTTTTTTTTTTAAAGCAAACTTTTCCAAGTTGAGCACAAAATATGCGTGTATAGATATTGTTCCTGCTTGCTTACCAAAGTATTTTCTATTCGAGCCATAAGTAATTATTCTTTAAACAAGCGTCTTATATAGATGAATTTTTATAAAAGTAAAAAAAAGTCAAACGTTTACACTACAACTTGCTTGTTACTTTTACTAAGACACACAAACTTCCTTTCCTGAGTATGACGATAAACAACGTCCGCATCCTGGGTAAGACGATAAACTACCTCCAACAGCAAGGCCTCTCATCAGGAGATTTTGAGAAGTGTGAAATCACCTCTTAATTGTTGGTGCTCCCAGGTCCACCCTGACCTGGGGTGGTAGCACCTGTTAGGGTCCCAGCTATGGGCAAATAGTTAACCCCCAAACTGGTGGTTAAAACACCATGAAAGTGTAAAAATAGGTTTTAATACCAGCAATAATGTTTTTGAGGAAAAATTATTATCAGCAATACATTTTTACCAGTAACAACATTATTACCAGCAATACATTTTTGAAGAAAAAAAATTACCAGCTATGTATTTTTGAAGGAAAAAAAAAATTAGCAGCAATACATTTTTGAAGAGAAAATGTTACCAGGAATACATTTTTGAAGGAAAAAATATTACCAGCAAACCATTTTTGAAGAAAAAATATTACCAGAAATAAAAATCTTGTCGGTATTAAATAACCCATTGAGGTTGATATGCCATAAAAACAAACCAACACACTAACTTCAACTGGTACACTACTATCAAAAGGTTCAGTGAACTAATGATAGAAACTGGTTATTTGGATATGCGAGTGGTGTAATGTGTAAAGGCACGTAATCAGAAAGAGCCGAGTTCTACCAGTTTAGAACTTTACGGTTAAGACACACCATACCACGCCCATTCTAGAGAACCACCCTCATTCCTTTCGTATTCCACTGGGGAGATGTAAGCTTCTTTCCACGAACCGCTGTTTGTGGAAACGACTCCCAAGAGGATGCTTTCCCGATCGCTACAGTCTAGATTTAACCGTTATCTTCCCTATATATCACGATAAACATTGCCTCTTACTCAGTAAAACACGGCCTCGAACGTCTGTTGGACCTTGTGCCTATTTGTTAGAATTCCGGTCAAAATATGTACAGTCACTTTCACACAAATACCATTGCGTAAGGTATGAAACCATCTATTCTTCTCTAGCTATACGTTAAATAGCAGGGGAGGCTGGGCTCCCTAGCCGTGTTTTGCGATCAGTATAGTAGAAAAACAGCTTTGAATTTAAAATCGTGTGACCCTGGTTGGTAAAATACTTGAAGTGTGAGTAAGGTTCACTCAGTATAGTTGCAGTATGAATAACGTGTTGGTTCTTTGGGTGTTGAAGAAACATAAGTAGATCTGGACAGAGGGTCATGTTCGAAAACGGGAATCCATGCTGAAGATGAGAAGACACACTGCAAGTCAGTGTGTCTTCAAGATGAAACACTCCTGATGATGGTTATTTGAAAGAATGAAAATATATAAAATGAGGTTCTGTACATCCTGAGGAAAAGTTATTAATAGGTATGTGAAATATCCGGCGAGACCGAACAAACTAGGCTCAATTTAAGATATTGTTACGGAGTAAATAAGACACACGTGGTATCACAAATGAACTAGGCAAGGCCCTTTAAATGAAGTGAGTCAGGAGTAGTTAGTTACAGTCTGTCCAAGGCTCGCGACAAGCCAAGAGAAGGCAAGTATAACATACAAAACCAGCTGTGTTCTCGCCAAACATTTCTGACAATTAATGGCATTTCTCCTTCCATTAACTGGGATATTAAAGTTAGAGACAAATCTTATTACGGGAAAGGAAATAGTTATAACTTATGTCTTGTTGAAAAATTGGTTATCTTCAAACACTTAAATATTCCTAGTTTATTAAACAAGAGAAATAAATGGACGGTTACATGTAGGTATAAAAATACATATCTGCTTACTTAAGCGTTGATCCAGATTAATTTTTAATATAAATTAAGATATATTGTTAAGGTAAATTACGGTCAGTTTTTGTTTTTTTTATAAAATAATAAAGAACAAGTAATCTCCTTTTATCTAAACGAATTAATATGCACAACTCTAAAATAAGTCTTTTTAGTTTCTTTTTACGTACATATACAAATCCCGTTTATTTTAAATGCCAAATATAACTTTTAAAATTAAAACACTGTAATCCTTGTATAATATATAAGTGCGCCAACATTGTGATTTTTTTTAATTTAAATTACCTAAAGGCCTGTCTATACTCAGCATCTGAAGATTGCATTGTGCATGAAACTACGAGTTGTGGTATCGTTGAAGGATAATATGTCTATTTATTAATATATTCTTAATAGCTCTGTTGTACTGCATGGAGCACTACCTGTGCGATATTATATATAAGGTGTGCTATATTTATGGGATAAAGTGCTCAATATCAGAGATAGAGTGCATGTAAATATAAATATAAAAGTGAACATTGAAGTCAACACTCAGATGCGACAGGCTGTTTCATGCCGGACGCAATCTTCAGGGCGTCATATATATATATATATATATATATATATATATATATATATATATATATATATATATATATGTATATGTTTGTGTGTGTGTTTGTGTGTGTATGTATAAGGGAGAGGTTATAATTTTCCAACGAGAGAAAAAAAATGTATATTGAATATTGTATGTTAATTATTGTGCGTCAATGATTTTGATTTTGATTTAGGATTTACCGGACGTTAAGCCAAGCCGCGCTACTAACAGGATATTCACTGAAATGGTTAATTATCTTTGATTGACTTTTACTTCTTTGTTCTTTTTAAGTATTTATTTGCAGTAGTAATTAAATACAGTTTTATTTTAACATTGAAGTCTTGAATTACATTTAATTATTAACAGCCACCGTACAACACAAAAATAGTACTTGTCATGAAAATGTTTCGATGCATTGCTCTAATAAACCCATATTAGGGTAAATTAAATTTTTGATGTATTTGTTTTTATAAAGCCCGTCCGTTATATATGCAATTGTTTGATTTCCTTTCTCAATCTTTTACATTATATCTTCCAATTAGACTGGCACATAATTGACTGAAGGCAATTTCCTGTCGAGGACAGAACTACATGAAGAGTTTGGTCATCCAGGAAATGCAGGAATATTATTACCAGATACAAATTCCGAATATCACCGTTGGCAGTAACGAACGCCAAAGCAATGAATCTACCACTGCACTGAGCAGCAGCACCAAAACATCGAACTACAAAATAGCGTTCCCCATTGGTTTATTCATTGCCGGTGCCTTAGGAAATATTCTCGCTCTCATAGTTTTGGCCCGGGCAAGGAAAGAGCATCAACGCTCGATATTCTATCGTTTGGTCGGTGGTCTCGCTGGAACTGACATTATTGGCATCCTCGCTACGTCTCCTGTCGCCATTAGTGTGTATTTCAATGATCTCCACTGGGAAGGCGGGCAACGTCTCTGTGACTATTTTTCTTTTCTAATGATATTTTCTGGCTTCGCAACTGTGTTTATCGTGAGCGCCATGGCTTTAGAACGATACTTGGCGATATGCCACCCTTACTTCTACAACACAAGGGCTTACCCAATGTTAGCTTTCTGGATCCTGCTAGCCATCTGGATTATCTCGTTTGTCATCGCCACGTTCCCGTTATTCGGCTTCGGTCACAATACCATACAGCATCCAGGTAACTGGTGTTTTTTTGATTCCCACAGTACCGACCTCATTGATCAGATTTTCGCCTATTTCTACGCTGTCATCGGATTGGCCATGGTTCTCTTCACAATCATCTGCAACCTCTTGGCCATGATCAGCCTGATGCATTCGACAGGGACGTTGCAGACGCAGAATAATTACTTGATGAGAATGTGTTCCACGCACAGCACCAACCGTAAAAGAAGAGAGCAATCGCTGCAGATGTTGTTGCTACTCTTCGGTATTGTCATTATATTTGCAGTCTGCTGGGCTCCATTAATGGTCAGTATTTTTAATTGGCGACATATTTAAGACCGAACGATCGGCCGATGTTTTATCCTGATATTAAAGATTCTAAGACCAAAATATACATTTACTTTCCGCATGAATTATCTAGAATTTTCATTTATACAATTAATTTTCATTTTTTGCATTTCTACAATTAAGCTTCTTTTTTTCATTTCTAAAATTAATTTTCATTTTTTTCATTTCTACAATTAAGTTTCGTTTTTTCATTTCTACAATTAATTTGCATTCTAAAATTAATTTTCATTCAACAATTAATTTTCATTTCTATAATTAATTTTCATTTTTTTCATTTCTAAAATTAATTTTCATTTTTTGCACTTCTACAGTTGATTTCCATTTTTTTTTCATTTCGACAATTAATATTCAATTCTACATTTAATTTTCATATCTACAATGAATTTTTTTTTGCATTTTTACAGTTGATTTTCGTTCTACAATTAATTTTTCTTTTTTATTTCTACAATGAATTTTCGTTTTATTTTTTCATTTCTATGATTAATTTTAATTTCTACAATAATTCTAACCCTTAGCTACACTATATTTGAAATTGTTTATTTGAACTTATATAGAGCATTCTTACAAAAATTTCAGTGAAGATACTAGTACGGAATTCGGTATGTTTTTCAAGATTTGGGATAGCAGCAGTATCTATGTGAGAATCCTATTGAATGAGAAATATATAAGACAATCTATGAAAATTTTACGTTGACATTTTTCGACGACGATCCGGCGTCATCAGAAAAAAGGATTTTACTTCAGAAGAATATTACAGTATTAAAATGGACCGTGAGTTACATTAAGCAACTGTACCCTTGATTTATACTTCTTTTTCTTTTTACAGTGAGCTTCGTTCTGTACAAGGCCCATGAGCAACTCGAGGCAGAGCTTACGATAATTGGTACTTTATATGGATAGGAGGTGAAGATAACGGTTAACTCTGATTCAATATAATCTTTCCACAAAGAATAAAATGTTACTGATGTTAATGAGAAGGCACAATGTGTCACTATCCACGAGGTTAGCATCAGCCATACTGATAGAAGGCAAAAAGGTTACTCTCATATGATTAAAAGACAGCAGCTTCATTTTGAAAGTATCCTCTTTCTTTATGTTCTTTCTTCCCTCTTGTGGTGGCGACGGAGATGGCTGTTATGGAGGAGTGTGGGTAGTGGCTGGGCACGTCACATATCCTCTTCATGTTGACGGTTGGACTCAAAAGACTTGCCCCCCATCCCGCCAGTTGGTTCTAAGCCAGGAAGGCCGATTTGCTGCAACGGTTTCCCAGGTCTCAGGGTTGATGTTAGCCTGTCTCCGGGATGTCTTCAAGTAATCCTTGAAGCGTCGTTTTGGGCCTCCGCGTAGCCTCTTTTCGCTGGCGAATTCTCCAAGCCGGGTTGCACGAGTCGAGTGGGACGGATTCTGGACACGTGACCCTCCCAGCAGAGGCGATGTTGAAGGATTGTAGCCTCAATGCTGTGGAGATATGTTCGGGAGAGGATCTCGTTTTTGGTTATGCGGTCCTCCCAACTAATGCGAAGGATTCTTCGAGGCTTAATTTGCTGGAACCATTCGAGACGTTCGATGTCCCGTCGATACAAAGTTCAGATCTCACAGGCGTACAGACCACGACGCGGAAGACCATGATTTTGGTACTTATGGCGCGGCCGTAATTGCTGAAGACCCGGCGTGAGAACGTTCCGTACGCAGTATGATCCACTTTGATCCCGTTTCAAGGTCTTTCTCCCAGGTGACATGATTCGAGATTATGCTGCCAAGGTAGGGAAACTCATCGACTACTTCTACCAGCTGTCTATGGACGTTAATGCTGATGTCTGATGTTCCCTGTTCGGGGGGCTAGCTGAATGAGGATCTTTGTCTTTTTGACATTGACGTGCGTGCATCCCGAAGCATTTGTACGCCTCGTTATACAGATTTGCCGATGTTTAGAAGATTAATGTCTCGTCCGCAGTTGCATTCTCGTCACCCTACCGAAATTCTCGATCGCGGATGGTGGTACTCTTTGTGCGAGAACGATGTCGGACGAGGTTTAAGTGTCAGCCGTCTAATCTGTATCGGATGTCAATGACATTGTTGCCAGTGGGGAGGGATTTCGTTGATCATGACGGCGAGACACAAGGAGAAGAGCAAATTAACAAGAGACACGCAGCGTTTACATTTCTTTAATGCAGTTATTTTTACGGGAAAATGTAATATATATTTAATTATTTATGATAATTCTCTTTCAACAGACATACAGAAATAGAAAGAGATATAAGACAAAGATGGGTCTTCTCACCGGACTTATTCAACCTATACAGTGAGGCAATACTAAAAGAATTAGAAATCCTACCTGGACCCATTATTGGCAGTCATAATCTTAACATCATAAGATATGCAGATGACACAGTGTTGAAAACTATAATAGTTCCTACAGGAGATAGAGTAGAAAAGAGAGAAGAAAGGAATAAGTATAAACTATAAGACAGAATTGATGGTCATTAGCAAAAGGATGAGGCTAAAATGCAAATTACAAATCGGGGATTACTAAAATCAAGCAACTACAAAAATGTAAATATATGGAAAGTGTTCTAACAGAGAACGGAAAGAGCGACACTGAGATCCAAGGATTTATTGGGATGGCCAAAGATGCCTTCCAAAAGCTAAGCAGAGTATTAAAAGACAGAAAAATTTCGTTAGAATAAAAAAAAAAAAAAGAATACTGAACATATGTCATATCTGTCCTCCAGTATGGCAGAGAATGCTGGACAATCTCCTCAAAAATGAAGAAGAGACTTGAGACAACAGAAATGTGGTTCTACAGAAAGATGCTGAGGATACAATGAACCGAACATATAAGCAATGACAATATGTTAGAGAAAATGGAAACAAACAGAAATCTTATGCTTAACATCATGAAGAGGCAGTTGATATTTCTGGGGGCATGTAATGAGGAAGGAGGGCTTGGAAAATCTGATACTCACAGGACAGATAGAGGGACAGAGGGACAGAGGAAAGCAGCGTGTAACATACTTGACGAGCTTGAGCACATGGAGGGTTAAACAGGGTTTGGGAGAAATAACAAAAAGACAAAACTTTACAAAAATCTATAAGGAACAGGAAGATGTGGAGGGCCATTATCGCCTACGTCCTGAATGGAACACGGCATATAAAAGTAGAATTCTCTTTCACTGGCGATTCAGTTTGATGACTGAAAGATACTAACCTACATTTTTTGGCTTCAAGGGTGGGGACGTTTCAAATTACAGGTATGAAATGGTTTTTAATTATACGAAGAGATGATAATCCATTGTGCAGTATTTTGTATTACAGCCTTTTGTCTTAAGATAATCTTCAATGTACTTGAACCTTAAATTCCACAGTTAATCCTGCCCCTCTCGACATCATTCTTGACGATTTATCAACTCTTTAGGTAAGAGATGAGAACAAATAGAGTACAATTCCTACGTTGTTAATATTTAATTTAAAAGAGAGCTCAATACAAAGTAGAGCAATATTCTTTATTTTAGGATATTACATCAAAAACCTGTCCAAATCGCAACACAATTGCAATCGTGTTTCGATGCGTATCAGATACATCTCATCAGAAGATTGTAAATTACTGGCGAGTGAACGATTTATTTAGAATTAAAAGCAAAATACAACCTCTTTTTACGAAAAAAAAAAAAAGAAAAACATTTATGTATTAGTATTAAAATCAAGCAGGGGTGTAGTAGTATACCGAGGACTTTTTCAGTACACTTATATATATATATATATATATATATATATATATATATATATATATATATATATATATATATACTACTTTAAGAGCGTCGTTAACTGGGGCAAAAGTTGGTTTGTCAATTTTAACGCCTCCAAAACTAAACTGTTCTCCATTAATCATCTGTCTCTCTGTCTTCCATCAGCACGGCTGATGCTAACTTTTAGAAGAACGACTTGATGCGCCTTCTCAGGCTAACGTTCTGAGCTGATATGAAGTGAAAAGACTATATTGAATCCGTTGCTAGGTCAGCTGCTAAGAAAGTCGGTTCACTGTGTCGCGCGAGACAATTTTTCTCCCTAGAATCTATCTTACTTATTTATAAGTCCCTGCTGTTTACCTCGAACTTTTTGATAAAATCTAAAGAAGAATCAGCAATTTTATTGGTCCTGATCTAGAGTCTCGGCTTCAGTCATTTTCCCACCGCCTCATGGACGCCACTTTATGTCTTTTCTATAAATACTTTCATGGTAATTGTTCCGATGAAAACTTCGCGACGTTACCTAGAGTTTTTGAATTTAAGCGCAGTACGAGAATGGCCTAGAGGTCCCATCAATATATAGCTAATATATAATTTTTTATCTTGCTGGTCGAACTCCATTTCTTCTCCATGCTTTCCAGCCAACTTTAAGCTTCACAAGTTTAAATGCAATGTCAATCGCTATCTAATGTCCTCCTGATTATTCTTTTTGTTCATGCTCATTAACAATATTTCTGTTTCTAATTCTTCCACACCCAGTAAAACTTTGTATCTTAGTGGCTTTACTGCCTTGCATATGGTGAAATCGATTTGAAACCATATATATATATATATATATATATATATATATATATATATATATATATATATATATATATATATATATATATATATATATATATATATTGTTGAATTGATGTGAGTTTGTGAACCAAGGTTTCACGCTATTTGCGATCATCAGACAAACTGATTAACATTTTAATTTTGTATTTATATATGTTTGCGTTTATCGGTGTTTTTTATGGTAGTGGAGGGAAAATTGTCGTCGGAACGCCACTCATACGTACGCAAACATACATGCACGCACGTTCATTCAGTGACGTACGCAGATCCTATATATATATATATATATATATATATATATATATATATATATATATATATATATATATATATATATATATATATATATATATATATATATATTTC